GGCCGGGAGCGGCCACTGCACTCCAGTCTGGGCGACAGAGTGAGACTCCAACTCAAAAAATAAAATAAAATAAAATAAAATAAGATCAACAGCATCAACAGTAGTGGTGGCAAGTCTTCCTTAAGTATGTACAGGTACAGGTGCTTTGCTGGCCATTTTGCATGTATTTTTAGAGATGGGGTCTCACTATGGCTCCTGGGCTTCAGCAATCCTCCCACCTCAGCTTCCCAAAGTGCTGGGATTACAAGTGTGCGCCACCACACCCGGCCCGGCCTATTATAAGCATTTAGCAGGTGAAATCCTCGACACACTCCTGTGAAGGGAGCATCCCTATCCCCCCCTTTTTTTTTGAGTTGGAGTCTCACTCTGTCATCCAGGCTGGAGTGCAGTGCATGCTCACTGCCATTGCAGCCTCGACCTGCAGGGTTCAAGCTATCTTTCCACCTCAGCTTTCCAAGTAGCTGGAACTACAGGTGTGTGCCACCACACCTGGCTAAGTTTTGATTTATTGTAGAAATGAGGTCTTGCCAAGTTACCAGGCTGGTCTCGAACCCATGGGCACAGGCAATCCTCTCACCTCGGCCCCCCAAAGTGCTGGGATTATAGGCGGGAGCCACCACGCCCAGCCTATTCCTCTTTTTTTTAATATGAGGAGTGTGAGTCTTTTTTTTTTTGAGTCAGAGTCTCACTCTGTTGCCCAAGCTAGAGTACAGTGGCCCACTCAGGGCCACCACAGCCTCGACCTGCTGGGCTCAGGGGATTCTTCAGACTCAGCCTTCCAAGTAGCTGGAACTACAGGCGGGCGCCACCACACCTGGCTAATTTTTCTCGAGTTATTGTAGAGATGAGGCCTCGCTAAGTTGCCCAGGCTGGTCTCGAACCCTTGGGCTCAGGTCATCCTCTTGCGTCAGCCTCCCAAAGTTTTGGAATTACAAGCAAGAGCCATCGCACTTGGCTGGAGTGTGAGTCTTCAAGGTGATAAGCAACTTGTCCAGAATGAGGCAGAGCCCAGCCCCGCCCCCAACCCCTTGCTCTTATCTGAAGTGGTGCGTTCCTGCCCTCCCTTGTACGTGTGTGTAGTAGGTGCTTACTGAACATCTGCCAAAGAGAGACTTTTTAGAAAACAGTGAAGTTTTCGCAAGAGACAGGGAAGTTGAACGAAAACACCGGAAACAAACTCTCCTCCCCAAGGAGCTGGAATGTTCTTGCAAAGGGTCCACTGAGCTTTCCCAGGATGCTTGGCTAAAGGCAGGGCTCCTCCTCACTCCCGAGGGAAAAGGCTTTGTGCACAGAAACGGGAATGGCCGGCTCTTCCAGGGCAGGGGTCCGGGTCGAGGGATGGAGTCTCCCCAGCAGGGGTCCTTCAGTGGCGCTGCTGCCACCCAGATGCTGGCCTTCCCTGGGACTCAGTTTCCAGATTTGCAGAATGTTCAGCACTTCCCAGGTGTGCTCCCTGGAATACGGGCCCTGCAAGAAATTCACATATAAAGTGGTTTTGTTGTCAAGTGTGATTGGGAAATTGCGTTTCCCTTGGGAGATGCACAGTCCCTGTTAAATGCCCTGAGAAGGCCGGCAGGAAGGAACCTCCTTATTTCGTGTTTACTTCATTCTTATTTAACCCGGTATTTCCTAACCCTCTGTGCTTTCGCAGAATGACGGCAAACATCTCCACCGACAAATCCCATCCTCGGCCAAAGACAAAACCAGACAGACCCAGTGGGCTAGACGTTTTCCAAGGGTCCTGCCTAACGTTCCGCAAGTCTACGACACAACGAGGCAGGTTGACTGCAGACGACCCCTCCCCGGCTTAAGGGTGGAATCCCCCACTGGGAATGTCGGAGCTCTACGCGCAAAGTGCGATGGATGCAGCCCTCGGGGCGGCCGGGGTCGGTTTCCGGGAACGGGCGCCAGGGGGCGCCAGCGGCCCGCGGTCGGGGCGCCGGGGGGCGACCGGCTTGTATCTATGGACCATATAAGATAGACAGTTTTTATTTGTCCTTTGGCCTTATGAAAAGTTTGTGTAACTTTTTTTTTCAACTTTACTTACCATGTGTTTGCAGTGATTACAAACAGTTGTTTAGTTAAAACCTTTATTTATTGTTTTGCCTTGAAATTACTAAACTGTTGCTTAGCTTGCAAATCTTTTGTGGTTTTGTATGTTG